CGGGGGGGGGGCGGGCGGGGGGGGGGGGGGGGGGGGGGGGGGGGGGGGGGGCGAAAAAACGAGCACATATAGACGAATGGCGTGCTATGGAGCCGCCGGTCGTCTATATGTGAAACACCCGGTAACGGGTGTTTGCATTGATCGGGTCTTTTCTGCCCGTGCGTGCACGAGGAGAAAAAAAACGGGCGGACGGCAAGTGGTTAAACATATTACTTTTGAAGTTTGATGCAGCCATTATTTGGGTCAGAGCCTTCCATTGAGTAAGGGGTTTTGATGTTTTTGTTTGCTTTATGTCCCCCAAAAAAAGAGGTTCAATCAATGGGTTTTTTCTTCCCTGATGACACAGGCATATTCCAAGATGACAATGCCAGGATTCATTGAGCTCAAATTGTGAAAGAGTGGTTCAGTGGTTCAAAATTATGAGACATAATTTTCACACATGGACTAGCCACCACAGAGTCCAGACCTCATTGAGAATCTTTGGGATGTGCTGGAGAAGACTTTACACAGTGGTCTGACTCTACCATCATCACTACAAGATCTTGACGAAAAATTAATGCAACTCTGGATGGAAATACATGTTGTGACATTAAATAAGCTTCTTGAAACGATGCCACGCCAAATGCATGCCTTAATCAAAGCTAAAACTAGTTCAACTAAATATTAGAGTGTGTGACTATTTTTTTGGTCAGGAAGTGTATTTTTTATTTTACAAATCTGAAAGTCCTATACAAAATAACTTAAAGATAATACAGCAATAATAATTTAGAATCCATGTCAATAAAAATAGCTTTCAAGATTACAATAAGAGAGGGGCACAGCAAAATTGTCTTGAAAGGTGTAAGCTTTGTGGCTGCCATCCTTATTCATACCTTATTAACTAGTGAAGTTGGGACTTTTGGACCTGCTTACATATTTTAGATCACTGACTAGGGCAGGAGTAAGCAACCTTGGCACTCCAGCCAGTACAAGTCTCAAAAGACATGGCAAGACTCCCAGAGGCAGAGGAATAGTGGGATTTGTAGTCTGCACAGTTGGAATGCCAACGTTGGCTGCCCCTGGACTACAGTTTGAAAGCCACATAACTTGCACTTTTAAAGATGGTTTGGCAATAGCAGATCCCATATTTCTACACTGGCAGATACACTTTACCTCTTCTTTGAGGCTTTTTGTATTAGATATGTGAAACCACAAAAAAAACATGAAAAATGATGTTTACATAATTTCTCATGCTCTGTCATGCTTTAATGCTGGCCGGCATATCACAGAAGACTATCTGGATGCGGCATAAATGTAATGAATGTAGTGGAATGTGTTATCTAGCACACAAATACATAAAATAAGGGTTATCAAGTTGCATGTTAGCAACCAATTGATCTTTTTACATGGCTAATATGGCTAAATGGACACTAAATAGAAACATTCTACATTTATTTTCCCCTGAGCCTTGAGCACAACATAATATACTGTAAATGTGCATGGTATCTAAACAAAATCTGGTTGACCCCTTTCTGTGGCCACAAAATGTTAAATTCAGTGAAAGTCCATTTTAGATTGTTTACTGCTCAGTATCTATACAAGAATGTAGAACAGAAGTTACAGTTCTAACTCTCTGTTAAATGGAGCTTAAAGTGATATTAAAGTCAAATGGTTTTCAAGCTTTTTAAATGCTGATTAAATCACTTACAATGGATGCTGCTTCTTGATGTTTAAAAGCTTTAGTGCCCTGCAGAGTCAGCTGGTTCCCTGAGCATTGGCCCTTATATCCTGTTTTAGGGTGGCTCCTTTCCCTTGCAGGGTTCTATGGAGCCACCCTTGTGTGTGCTAGTAAGCTGTGTGTCTCCACAAACACACAGCAAGGCAAGCCATTCCCCTCCCCACGGTTTCCTGCTACTCCTTCCTCCCTTCTCCAATCTATTAAATGGAAGGCTGGAGACTGCCCTGTCTCTTGTGACCTTGTACTGGACTGGAAGTTTAGGGAGTTGGAGCCAGGGGGAATTTATCAAAACTGGAACAAAGTTTGGACCTGAAAGAGAGCCACCATTTCCCTAGAGTATTCTGCTTCAGGGCAAGAGCTGACAGTGGGGAGCTTGCCTGGGTGTTTTGGTTTTCATATACATTGTAAAAGCTGCAACAACATTTTTAAAACACTTGATAGGAAGCCACAAACGAACTTCAAAACTCTTCCATGGGAGTGCTACCTTTAGTTGTAGGTGTACAAAATGGGAAATGCAGTGGAATCAGGATCAGCTATCCAGTTAAATGATCAGAAACTTACATCTATCCTTTGGATGTAAACAACAGCATTTGTTTCCATCCTTGCCCGAAATGTTCTGTAATTTAGACTAGTGATGAGCGAATCAAGCAAAGTTTATTTCTCTGGATGTTCGCCTAACATTTCAAAACATCTTCAAACCCCGAACATAATGCTTGAACCCCATTGAAGTAAATGGTAGCCGAATCCTGTTATTTGTTTTCTTTGTTTTTTCCAAGGTAATTTTGCAAGCTTTTGTTAAAAAAGGGCATGGGTAGTTTGGTGCTGCCATGGGGGACATGTTCCAGGAAGAAGCTCTTTTAATTAGGCTTAAAGGGCAACATTAAATATATGCAATTCCATCCATTAAATAACATACTTGGGAAATGCCCTAAACCTGCACGCAGAGTGGTGCTGCTCTACAATGTACGTCTGCAAAAGTGATATTTAGAAAGATAAAAATATTTGCCACAAAATTACATTACCAGTTTTGTTTGTAAAAAATTGCATGGGGTCCCCCCAAAAATCCATACTGGATCCTTTCCTTGATAGCAGTCAGGTAAGGATTTGGAGTGGGACCCCAAGCAGAAGAAATAAACGGTCTGGGGTCCCCCTCCCCGAAATTCATACCAGACCGTTATCCATGCATGCAGCTTGGCTCACCCAGAAAGGGGGGAAGCAAGCATTCACTTCTCCCTTCTGAACACTACAAGGCCACATGCCCTCAATATGGGGGGGGGGGTGCCCTACCAGGGGTGGCTGCCTGTCAAGGTACCATGTCCCCATGTTGGTGTGGACATGGAGCTAATTCCTACATCTCTCATCCCTGGCCTGGAAGATGTGGGGGTCTGCGGGGGGAGGGGGAAGGAGGGACTTATTGGAATCTGGCAGCCCCTTGGGGCCTAGAATAAGGAGGCTTCAGATATCCAAGTTGTATATGTAAGTTGTACATAATACACACAGTTGTTGTGGATCCATAGTCAGTCACAATGAACAACTCCTCAATGACCCGTTGACACAAACATAATGACCTACACTGACAATCTTCTCCCGCCGGTCTCCTGATGCTAAGTGACAGCTCCTCGGCCAGCTGCTAGATGTCAAACTGACAAAGAGTGACCATATTTGGTCAATTGCATCACATAAGAAACCCACCAGCTTGTTTACTATGTAAAACAAGCCAGCGGGTGGTTCGGGAAGTCATTCACTTAGTGGCAGTAGTTAGTTCAATCAGAATCTAGACCTTCTCCTAAGCATATGTGACCTTTGGACGATAGAAACCTATAGGAAGCTACTGCACAAACACGATCAGTGCACAGCAGGTTTTCAGAAATCATGTATACAAATGCCAAAAACCGTGGTCACAGGATTAAGGTAACTATGCATTGTGTGTGCGTATGTGGGGGGCTAGTTTATGCTTAGGTCATGTTAGCCGCTTGATTTTAGAAATATTTTTACTTCCATCATCCATGTCAAAGCAAATTTTGAGCAAGTGAGAGTTAGAGTGTGTAGCAATCATCATTCCATACATCTATAACCATAAACATAAGGCTCATCCTGGGTTTATATGCCCATATCAAAGCTTAATAGTTGACCAACAGAAATATAATTGCCAGTTCAATCTTCTCCTCATTTGTAACCCCACTGACATAAATATAATAAGGAAAACCACATACTGAATAGACAATGTTTCAAAAACTGAGAGTATTAGGACAGATTTAAAATTATTAAGCAGAATCATTCTTCAGAAATGTGTCAGACTCAAGGGGGGTGATTTACTAACCTAAACACACACACACACACACCAGGTGTGTGTGATTTTCACACAGCAAAACGTATTTATCAACCAAAAAGTCTCTAAAAGCATATTTCCACTAATGCCATATATGGAAAAATCATGCACATGATGCATATATAATGCTGCTTCACAGTTTAGACAAAAATGGTTAGCTCATGCATTTACATTCCTTGCATTCATCAACGCAAGCAACACAACATAGAGCTAATTTACCCAACATCACCTTGGAATTCATTCAGGGCTTTGCACAACACACCTGCTGGGTGTGTACACATTACAAAGGTGTTTAGATTCCACCCATAGATCATGCTGGGAGGGAACACACTGCAGAGGTGTATACACGTTCGTGGTGTGTTTATAAGGTTAGTAAATCAACCCAAAGGACTTGATGAGTACTGTTTGGGGAAGACCTAAAATAAAAAATGGCAAATCCAATTTGTTTTACAGTATGTTTCCTTTCTCTATGGTAGTCAGAGCCTGCTAGTATATTTGTATTTTGGTAATACTGTCTGCAGGTTCTCACAAACTAAAATCTCCAGTACATCTATCACTACTACTAATGATGATGGTAATAATAATATTGTACATCTTTACATATATTTCACTACATTTTAAATACTGCTCTTTTCTCTGTATACACATAATTGTCATTTTGAGATATTATAATTTTTTTCCTTAAATCTTACCACAGCCTCTGCAAGAGCGCGACAGGATTGGATATCTCTATGTTCAGGACTACTTAAAATCTTCCTTCACCCTAGCAACATTAACAAGCATTCCGGAAGAGTATTTAAGGAGACTGAAACAATTTTTCAACCCCTACCATCATGGGGGTGGTATGGCTGGCCAAGTTCATGCTGGGATGTACAGCACTATGGTATGTGGAGCAAGCCCAAGGCCAGGTGGAACTCGGGGACCATCAAGTGGACAGGTTTGCAGGCTATGAAGACAGACAAGCCCTGAGAGTGAGAAGAAGAGGACAGGACACACTGAGAGGGTATGATGCAATATATTCCTTTTTGTATAGATGTTTCTTAACGTTTGAAGCATCAGAATTTAAACCGAAAAATGTTGGGCAGTTGCAATAAACTGAATATCTGCTCTTGCTAGTTTATGATTTGTACAATACATGTTAGAGAAGTGTTAGCCTGTATGGCACACTCAGCCTATCGTCTACTGATGCTAACTGCTGTTACCAGACACCAAAAAAAACCAAAACCTGATGATATGTCAACTACTGCCAGGATTACAGTAGTTGATATAGTAGTTGACGTAGATTACATGAAAGTGACTCATCTTAGTTATAGAAATTATGAAAGAGTTGAATGTATTGAATTAAATGAATGTTGATATGTCAGTAACTAACTAAAGGAGTGAGTTGGAAACCCTGCTTTCTAGCTTTTTAAACATTGCCATCTCAGATTATACCCTGGTATCCTAAATTATTTTAGATATGTGGCATTCATTTTAGTTATTGTGTCAAGTTTTTTTTACAATTTTGCAGCCCCAGAAGAGTGGTTCACTATTGATATCAGAATCTGTAGCACAATTGTCCAATAGCGCCTTAAAGAAGAACTCCGGGCACAATTAACCCTTGCAGTGGGGCTACTCTTGCACTAAAAGAGTTAGGAGCTCATTTTCGTCTAGGGACGAAAATAAGAAGCCGGCTGGCTGTTAGACAGTCTCTTCAGCCTATCTCCTTCTCCATTCCAGCAGTGTAAGATCCTGTGAGTCATCGCGTCTTATACACTGTGTATAGGACATGAGGACACTGAGGGACTTTCTATCGCTAGAGTGGAGGAGGAAGGCTGAAGTGACCTATCTAACAGCCAGCTGTGGGTCAGATGAGTATATCTTTCTTATTTGCGACCCTACAGTAGACGTAAATGAGCACTAAACCCTTGCAGTGCAGGGGTAGCCCCAATGCAAGGGTTAAGAATAATTGTGCTCGGAGTTCTTCTTTAATGTATACTTTGTCTAAGCATTACAAAATAGGTGTACAATTGAAGTTCTCTATTACAAAAAATGACATGGAAGTATTGGAAAAATGTATTATTGTATAATACCAACAAACAAACAAACATGACCCAGTTTTATAAAAGAGTCCTAAATTATAAACATAATCCAATCCATTTAAACCATATGCATAATAAATATTAGAAATGGCTCAAACATTGTGGTTTATGAAAGAATTTGTTTGTGTTGAAATAGAAGAATAAGAGTATGATGTAAGAAAATGGGGTCCAACATGTTCAAGATTTAAATTCACAATGGGTCTTGGGAACAAAGCATAACTAACCCGTTACCAGTTTTGCATTAATATTGCATAATGGGCAAATTAGAGTGGCAACTAAATTTCTTTTATATCCCTATACCACGGTGCTTGTGCTTCTATTACCATTGTTGGGGATTGTTGTTTTTTTTGCTTTTTAGCAAAAGCAAGCCATTTTATCCCGATTTACTAACAACTAGGACCTGAGGGACTGAAGAAGATGCTCAGGGTTTTTGTTTTTAAAATGAGGGGCCATTTTAAAGTTTGTGTTCACAATGCATAAATGTGGTGTATGTCACCAAATATCATAAAGGCATTCTACCAATAAAAGAAGTAGAAATAAGTAGACTTCCTATTGATTTAAAAACTACCTTAAAACCCTTTTTGTGGTTGATGTATGCATTCATGGGACACCTCTGGTATGAGACTCCATGTCACACTTGTGTCTAAATTTCCGCTTCTTTAATAAAACATATACAAAGTATAGGCGTCTCATTACATCACAAGACTACAGAGAGAAGTCAGGTCTACACCTTTCTAAAGCCCTGTCTGTTCTTTGCAGACTCTGGTGTTAAAAAAAATTACACAAATGCATTGCAGTTTCCAGTGGCGATGCCAAAAGATTTTTGTTCCATAAGCATGGTGATCCCCAGCGAGGCTGTTAAAACAGTACTGCTGTATGCGGTCATCACACCTGGAAAGAGTTACATGTGTATAAAAAATGTATCTGCTGAACATCAGGCTGGGTGGGGTAGTGGGATAAAGTGGTCTATTTCTTTCAGTGCCTTTTAACAGAAAAGCAGCATTCTTGGATTGCTTTGCAATTACAAACATTGGTTTACACTTAAAGAAATGTTGTCTCACTATGAGACTCATTCTGCAGGGCAAATGTCTAACAACGTTTACAAAGACGGTATTGTTGAATGTACAATGTTTAGTTCCATATATTGGTTGATTTTCCAGTGCCTTCTGTTGGGTCCTGGGTGTGTTTAAGATCTGGGAACGTCAATGCTTTTATTGTACTGCATCCAGTCATCCACCAAACCATTCTGTTGAAACTGACAGCAAAAAGCCACTGTACACAAATTAACATCAACATGTATAAAAGGTTCCTGATATATGCTTAAAGAAACAAATGATGGCACCTTTTTTTTTTAGTTCAACTAGTAAGTAACAAAATGACTTCTTCAAGTAAGTAACAAAACTGGAAACAAGGAAATACTTTTTTTTCATTTCAAGTAGGTCTAAACCCGAGTTGGATAATGTTTAGTTTGCTGGAGCAGTGTTTCTCAACATTTTCTCAGTCACAGCACCTTTTAAAAATATGCAAAATCTTGGGGCACCCCAGTCTAAAAAATAAAAATATAATTGTAAAAAACAACATCCTAGTTTATCCCAGATAAGTGGTCTAGTATTTATTTTAGGGGGCACCCCACACAAAAATGTGTGATTCCCCTTTAAATCAGGAGCCCCCCCTTTCACATCAGATTCCCCTTTACATCAGGACCCCCCTCCTTTCGTATTAGAGTCCTCCCTCTCACATGAGTAAGAGTCTTTTACATAAGAGTCCTCCATTCACATCACAAGACTCCCTTCACATCAGAAGCCGCACCCTCCTTCACATTAGGAGCCCCTTTTGACATCATAAGCCCCCCTTTCACATCTGGAAACCCCTTTACATCACCTTGTTTCCCCTTCACATCAGTGTTCTACAATCACATCCAACCATCTGGGGCAGCATAGCAGTGGATGAAGCAGGCCACATGTGAACTTCCATCCTTTAAAAAAAAAAAAAATCACATCCTCCCTGGATTAGCATCCTTCATTTCCATGGTGCTAATGTAAAAAAGGTTACAAGCAAAATATTTTTACAGCATGTGGTATAGAGTTAATGTTCCTCCCTTTACTTAATCATTTCCTCAGTTGTTACATGCTTAAAATGTTTTGTTCACTCTAGAGATATGTTTCCCTCATACTTCTGACTTATCACTTTATCATATTGTTTGATGTAACATTATATTTTGTCTGTAGCTCTGAGAACCTGCATAATTACAGACATGGAGGAACAATTTCCGTTTTAATTAAAACAGCTACTTAGATGGCTATGTTGAACTTCTAAGAGGTGGCAAAAGACATTCCAGAGTCCTTGTGGGCTGATGATCACTTAGCCCACTCTCCATTCATTCTTTTCTACCCAGATGTAAAACAATGTGTCACACGGGAGGGGCTCCCCTCTTGCTAGCCTCTAGACTGTTATTTTTCTTTAACTGATGTTTCTCCTGGGGCTGTCAGGCATAACCAGATGCTCCTATCCTCTGATCATGGGGAAAACCTGAAGGCTTATACATTCCTGGCCATATATTCGTCCGTGTGTGAGCCAAAAATTATTTTATAATTCTTATCTAATATTCCCCACAGCTTTTAGTTTTGGATTACCTAATCATAATGTGACAACACTGCTATGTTGAAAAACATAATTATTTATTATTAGATGTATAAATTAAAGAGCACCAACATATCCTATAGGGCTTAACAAAAATATTTAACATTTACAATTACAAACTATAGTACTCAAACAGAATTACTGCTTGTCATGATAAGGCCCCTAGAAGTGCTTGCACATACAGTAACTCCAGCCATGTCTCCTTTACTGATTAGGTAAAGCTCTGGCCCTTTATTGTAGTGATGGTGATTGTCCACCCTTTGTCACCTCCCACACATTCCAATTGACCAGGGTGGCAGGCCATCATAGTCATGGGCCAATAGGAACATGGGCAATATGGGCACTCTCCAAGATTACCAATAAATGTTGGAGCTTTGTTTTTTATATAACCACATACGCCTTACTCTGCTGTGTTTTTGCTGAACTGTAACAAGCTTTTTTGGTGCCACATAGGTCAGATAGACATTCTCTTCCTCGTCAGATTTGACTTGCTGACCAATGGGGTTATTTACTTCCTATGATTAAACCCAATTGGGAATATGCATCAGGGGGCAAAGCACCATCTGACAAGGGAAAGAATGTCTGTTTGACCTACCTGGCATTATTAAAGCTTGTTGCTGCTCAGCTAATAATGCAACAGAATATGGCTTATGTGTTTGTATGCCTGGAGAGGAGAAGGCGGATCCTGGAGATTTTGTGCTCCAGCAGGCCAATCACTGTATACGTATGCCTGGAGCGGTGTAATGTACACACATTAGCTTTGCACCCATTAGTTTAGCAACCCAATAAGGCAGATACGTAACCTTGGAAGAATTTTAGAAGAATTTTAACCAGGGGTAAAATGGCAAATTGTGATATAGGATGAGTTTTACCATAATGAATGCACAATGAGGGTGTCCAAATAAGTCAACTTTGCCAAACTTGCATGTAAAAGGCCAGGCAACAATGTAAAAGAATGATAGAATCAATGCTGCAAAACATTTCCTATTATATGAATCATTAAAAAGGAAGGAAAATTGTCCACTAGATGTAATTTGGGAAGGTCTAAGCACACAAAGGTTAACAACATCTATTACAGTGGTACTCAAGGAATGAGACTCTGGGGTCTATTTATAAAGAAGAGAATGTGACTTTCACAAACATTCGCTGGTGGAGAATCAATTGTTCCCATTTAAAACACTTGCATCTTAACGGCTCTTCATCAGAGAATGTTTGTGAAAGTCACATTCTCTACTTTATAAATAGAGCTCTGTGTGTTTTAAAATGAGCCAGTTGATCTGCT